ACTAAAGAAGTGAAAATGCGTAATTGCTTTCTTTGTATGTGTACTAAGCATAGTCTGAGATTGTTCAAGCTATATTGTAAGCCTATCGTTTTCGGGCGTTAATTTGATCACGTTCTACAGTAATACAGCTGGCACTAGTGTTATAGAAAGGTATTATGCTTTTGTAGAAGCATTTATCAATTATTTAAACATAGACTGTCATCGCAATCATGTTGAAATTAGTTATATATATATATAGATTGACCGTAGCATATATACTACTGTTACATACGTATGTACCGCTATACTATCATAGTATGTACCATACGCCATTGTGCTTCTTCGAAGCAAGTAGATAATATAAAGTTTAAATAAATGATTCTAAGATTTTAGTTACGTTTCTAGCTATGTTATTCTATGTTTGGTTAATGGAAAATTATGAATTTGTTATGTAAAATATTTAAGATGCGGTCGACATCGTATCATAGCCTAAACGTTCTCTACTACTTTCAAGCATACCAATGAGTGTCATTCATTTATTAGAAAACAATATACACGCAATAGTATTGATTAATTATAAAGCTTCCTTCAAGAAATGTTCTAAAAATATTGGCTTTTAAGACACATTTTTTATCGGCTAATTGTCTTACTTCAGTGATTACCTGTATATGGCACACCGGTAATTGACAGGATGTTATCGATTAGCGTTACCTACTGAAAAAGCAAGGTTATTAACAACTCCTTTCAATCGGCAGCGGCTAGTTAACATTACAGTAAACAAAATATTGACAATATTTTATAGGATTTTTGAAATTATTCATAATAATTTTAACTTATCGGAATGTCCTAGCTCTAACTCTATATTAATATTATTAATTAAATATAAAATGGCCATTTTAAAAAAAATATACTAATAACATGACTAGTGTGAAGCCATCATTTATTACTACATAATTATCAGATTTAAGCTATACTTTTATCATCAACTTATATTTTTAAGTAAAATAGAAAGTGCATAGTCTCAATTCATAGATATACAACGGAAAAGATAAAAACTAGGAAGAAGGTTCTATTGTTCAGCCCTACTAAATTGATTATATTATAGGAGCTCGTGTAGCAAACCTTTAGATAGATACTACACCCATACAGTATTAATACCCGGTTAGTTTATGCAAAGAAGAGGTAGATTACATTAACGCTGGTGGTATTGTATTATGGCAATTTCCATGTTGAGTTCAATTGACAATCGAAATATTTGTACGATATGTGGTTTGAAATTTAACCGTTTAAGTCTTTTAATACAGTAGTTTAATGGGAAAAGAAAGTAAACAAATCTTGGAGTTCAGGGAAGATAATTATGCATTTGTTTGGATTGCTTGATATCTAAAATTTTACCGTTAAAAGTCACCTAACAATTTACTAGAAAAAATAAATAAATACAGAAGCTCAGGGGAGATAATTGTATAGTTGTTTGGATTGCTTTGATGTCTTATTATTTGTTTATACTCCTATTCTATGAAGTACGTCGTGATATTAATGTTTTAACTGCATGAGTCTTACCTATAACTTTACATTCATTTATTATCGATAAGCCTGAGAACTAATTTTAGACTGTGTTATTTTCAGTATACAGATATAGTGAATATGGGCAGCAATTGATAGTCAGCCTAATATAATAAAGTTCCGATGTGCCTATTCTATTTATTCCCATAAACCACTGTTTCGTCTATAGAGGCTTTCCTGAGGTATCTTTCAACTACAGTATTATGGTGGATTTTACACTCGTGATACAACTCTAGCAGTTATGTATGCAGTCTATTAAATTCATATCAAGTACTCAGTAAAATACGTATACGAAGTAGAACGAGCAGAGCCTTAGCTAGTAGCTACGATCTCGTATAAAATGGGCACCATTTTTGGGGGTTTATTTATTTTTTAACTAAAGCTCTTTACATACAATATCGCAGCATTGTAACTATGTGCTCCTGTCGATATAATATATTAACAGTGTTCGGATTTGCATGAAGTCCTACTCTTATAATGTTATGCTGTCTTCTATACCAGGATTAAGCTCAGTGATTAAGTAAGAAATTCATAAAACGGCAGTTTTTTATTATTATCATAAGAATAAAAACGGATGCGCGAGGTAATCTTCCTCTATCAGGCTCCGGGAATAGAGAGAGCCTCAATTAAAATTGCTGTAGATCGTAGAAACTGAATGACTCTGTATAGACAAGATGTGTTTAGCTCTATGATTATGGAGTAATAATAACTTCAATGATAGGTAAAGATTCTAAACTATATCAGTCAATATGATATATTTCGCAATATGATATAGTTTAGGCAAAAATTGAATTCCGAGATGATTGTGGACATCAACAGTCGCTTCTTTCTTTTATAGACGAGCGGACAGACGACGGTACACACATCGCCCTAAAATTAGCCTATAAAAAGCTCAAATGACTACAGTACTAGGACTACAGTACTGTAAGTGCTATACTGTACAGTATGTACTGTACAGTACAGCACAATATAGAGAATCAGCTAGACAAAAATACGCTTTAGACTGTAGGATTGTTGCAGTTATGGTACTGTACATAGGTAACAGGGGAATACTGTATATTTCTTTCTTTTTGGCTGCAGTGTAATGTACCAGTATCACTTTTAGAGTCGTGTTTGGTACTGCAATATCGTCATCGGCTAGAGTTGTGGACAGCACTACGGTTAGACTTGAAGGTACATGTTGCATGCAATGTTGTCGTTGTAGCTTAGCGATACTAAATTTCAAATCAATTGCTTTGCAGCCTTCATGTTGGACAACCGATTTTGCTCTTGGTAGGCTAGTTAAGACCAGAAACATCCGAGAAACATCAGGAAATCGGTGACATTGTATTCGTAAGGTATGTAGCATGCGTGTGAAACTCTATACGTTGTGGTGCGGATTAACGACCATTGGTATACTTTTACTTACAGTTAATGATTCATTATTAGTATGTTTGTTGATTGTTGCAGAAGACCCAATGCTGCAACATGGCGTTTCGTGTCACGACGCGATTATTAGGGAAGAAAAGCGATTATAATAAGCTAATTGATAGGGTATTACGGGTTGATCATGCTGGTGAATTAGGTGCTGATAGAATCTACGCTGGCCAACTAGCTGTGCTAGGCAAAACTCCTGTTGGACCTGTCATCAAGAAAATGTGGGAACAAGAAAAGGTATGTATCGATGGTTAGGATCAACGAGAAATTAAAGCGTCTATACGCGTATATGTAGATTAAAAATTGTAGTGTATGTTATGGCTGATAGATGTAGATAGAAACTATTTATTAAGTATATGTGTGTCAGAGTGAAGCTGCTAAATACACGTAAAAGCGATTTCAGCAATTGTCTGTGGATTGAATCGATATACTGTACTGTATGCTACTATACATTGTACAATAGTCTCAATTTACTATCTAAGAATGGGCAGCAATGGTTACTTTTGCATAGATTGTAGGAGAAGCCTACGTACCTCCATAACTACAACGAATGCTATATTTATTTGTATTGTACTGTTACAGGAGCATCTACAAACATTTGAGAAATTAATTCCAGATCACCGTGCACGTCCTACAGCCTTGCTACCACTTTGGACAGTAGCTGGCTATGTTCTAGGTTAGTTAAGCGCAACGTTTACCACACACTATTTTGACGCATGATTGATCAAGCTACTACATCATACTGTATGTAGTGGTAGAACAAAATCTCTCACGATTAGTGTATGAGTAGTAAAGTTAGAATTGTACAGTATTAGTGCGTTGCTTTGCCTTGAAATCGTCAACGTTGACAAAATTTCGGTAATTCTCATATCCGAATTATTTTACTCTCATTAACATTTCCGACAATACCTATAAAATTTCTACAATTTGTTTGCTGTGATTAGGAGCTGGTACAGCTATGCTTGGCAAAGAGGCTGCAATGGCTTGTACGGTGGCTGTCGAAGAAGTGATAGGGGACCACTATAACAATCAACTTCGCCAACTTGTGGCACATGGTAATGCTGACGACAGCATTAGTAATAGTGATGAACATAAGGAACTTCTAAGCGTTATAAAGCGTTTTCGCGACGAAGAATTAGAGCATCTGGATACAGGTATGGAACATAATGCAACGGAAGCGCCATTATACGATGGTCTCAAACAAGTTATACAAGGTGGTTGTAGGATTGCAATCTGGTTATCAGAGAGGATCTAATATAAGAGTTGGAATGTGCATACTTTATTAATCTATTAAAAGCGGATGATGAATTGAACATAGCAATACTTGAAGAATCACTCGTTAATTTTACTTTATAATTATACTATATGTATACTTCCGTATTGTCATGCTGTTTTATTAAATCAATTGCTCTTAGTTGCTATGTGTATTCGATGATAATTTATTAACTGTTTTCATACCCATGCAGTTTTAATACTAGCGAAGCTTTAATCAAAAATAAGCTATGCTTAATGGAATACTGCTGTTAAAATAAGATGAAATTCATCAACAAATGGTAGTATCGAAAGGGTACTCTTCACTATTTCTAGTAAGAATGACGCTTGAAATAAAGTCAAGGATAGCATACCTTGGGAAAGCAGCAAACTAATTCATTGCAGATTAGACACATTTATATGATTAATAAAATGTAACAATTAGTGTAAGCAGATTTATATAAATGTGTGTTTCAGCGTAATACGTATGTGTCATTATCATGATCTTTACCGTTACGTAATTATAAATAACGTCTACTAGAACGATTTGCTTCATAATACGAAGGCTAATTCAGCATCGTTAATGTAACAATTCGAAATAAAAAGATTTTACAGTTGCAGACAAATCCGTTTTGTGCTCATGTGATGATTTACTATAACGTTAAATTATTTAAATTCTCTTAATTGTAGTCTCCTCTAAAGTTTCTCTTTCGCCGTTTCTTAAATATACAGTACTAGACGAACGTATACTCGTATTTCAATTGCAAATATGTACAGTACAGTAAGACATGGGAGTATTTAGCATCCTACAAGCTACTTTAACGGATTGATATTTTGATTAATTCATTTACGTGATATAGCCTTGCAGAAATGTTACATATAGACACGAATTGGCATCATAACTGGCTTACGATTGCCTGTTGTTATCTTAGATCCTTTGTCAGTAAACAACATTATTATTTGATATATCAATCCTTTATTATCATATAGTACGCAATTTTAATGATTCGCATATACACGACACGTTTGATAAAAAACAGGACTTATGCAAAGATCTTAAGATTTGAGATGCAAAATTGTGCATTTCTGCAAAATGATTTACTTCTTCCATAGATAGGTCTGGTCATAAGTAGTAAAGTCAGAATTAAAACATGAAAAGCATACGATACGTATTTCATCTGGTGCTGATAAGCATGAGTATTATCGGTCAATCACGTTATCGTATCATTTTGAATAGATTGTAAGGTATCTAATTGTGTTCAGCAGTTCAGTATCATAAGTTACAACCATACGCTATTAATGACATAAATTAAACAATAATATTCACAAAATATATCTATGCGCTATATACTGTATAGATGATTCCCAAAGTGCCACCATAGATACTATATAATTGTTGCAATGCATGATAGCATTGCAACGGATTATTAACAGAAATAGACACATTAGTAAGAAGTTCAACGCAATTGTTATGTTTAGCATAGCTGAATATGTATATATATATATATATGTGTACCAAACTTCACATCACTAACTACTTATAAAAGTCGATTTTATTGAATCAGATCTCTAAATCGTTAACAACAGTTAATCAAAAAGCTACACTTAATGTAGAACTAGTCAATATTATCAAGTGTGTCATAGATCACTTTTAAAACACAAGTATCCATCGATTTTGGTTGGCGAATAATTATATTGTAATTCATTATCTGATATAATGAATACTTACAGCGATCATGTACCGCGTGAACCTTATTAATGTATTCCTTTTAACAAGTTGTGCACAGATAGAAAAATTTCATTGATAGCGGAAATAGTAAACTGTTATATCTACACGAAACATTACAGTACAGTATTATACTTTCAACGAATGAAAATTGGTTGTAGTAATATTGTATACCGAATATGAATATGTCATAAGGTATAGAAACTACCATGAACAAGCAGGATTACGATAATGCATCGGCTTCTTTGGCAAAATACAAGTCTAACTCTGACAGGATTAATAATTGGTTATATCAAACTATATATTTTTTATAATGTTATTCACTTAATTAGAGGCAATAATGACAATTAATTGCTTGCAATTTTAACTATCTGTTCAGCCATTTTTATAACCGGACCTACTTTTTCATCGATCCACGCACTAGTGACCGACTTACTATAAACTTCATCGAATGATGATTCGGCATCTGCCTTTAATTGCATGACTCGTGTGTGCATATCTCTTGCTTTACTAACTTGTTCCTTTTTACTACCTTTTTGTGCCAATATTTTGATTTGAGTGTGCAAACCCTTGGCTTCGTTACGTAATAAATCTAAGCGACTAACAATGAGGAATACATCACTGCCAGGAAATCCACATTTTTGGACTTGATAAGTACCAGAGCTGTCATCATAAATTTTACCAGCACAACCCAAAGCATCTACAGATACAGTATGTATGACCTCAGGATTTACACTACCTCGATCCAAAGCTGTCAAGCACAAGGCTAATGATGGAAGACCTGCTGGTAGTAATTCACATAGTGGAGAAAAATGATCGAATCTTGACCAACCAGTTATAGCAATGCCAGGAATTTCCATACCATCTAAGTTGGATATAATTTTTAACCACTGTAACTGATTTTCAATATGCTTATTGAGTGGAACGATATCCGTATCTTTTCTCAATGCGCCTTTGAAAGCACTCGCTATCCACACTGATCCAAATACCTGCTTGTAGTTTTTCCACATCGTCTGAGGAAAGTATTTAGACAAGTTTTCTTCATAAGCCCAAACCATGGGGGTTGCTAAATTTTGTAGCGTCAACATTTGATCTACAGACCATGAGCGCAACATATCATCCCACATCAGAACAGTTAACTCAGGCCAAGATGATTTAATTTCTGTAAGTAGCGGCACCATATGTAATAAATACATGTCATGTTTTTTATAAGCTAATGCTTTACACTTGGTACATTTCATTAAGTCGTAGATTTCGTCACCACCAATGTGCAAATATTTGGTATTGGGATGCAAGGCAATGACCTGTTTTGCCATATCCAGCAATATTGGTAAGGAAGAATTTTGGCAAGGGCATAGCGCCTTCTTGGAAGTACTGAGAGCACGTAAATGTTTAAATTGTTGATGCTTTAACATAAATTCTAGATGGCCAAAAGTTTGGATTAAAGGAATTACAAGAAGTTTAAATTCTTCAGCAAGTTGGACAATTGCATTGACTTCGCTTTCCGTGTAAGCGTCAGTACGAGCTAAAACTTTTAAATTATCCTTATACGGAAACATATCTTCATACTCAATGAGTACTCCTGTAGCACCAAGCGAACGCAAGAAAGGAAAGAGCTTTTTATAATAGGTCATCTTAGGAGGAGCTCCTTTTAAATCTAAATGGATGACTCTATGTCCAGGAAATTTGCGTTCACTAGGCGGTGCATTAGCCGCTGCATTATTATCAGCAGGTGCTGGTTGTTGTTGTTGTTGCGCCTGTTGCTGCTGTTGATCTGCAGTTTCTTTTGAAGGATGTTTCAGTTTTACTATATTGGAATTGCCTTTTGTAGATGGTTTAACATAAGCCTCAGGCTTATTGGTTTTAGATTGAATACGTGCATTTATTTTGTTGGCATTAATGCTGTGGTTGACTTTGTTCCTCCTCAAGGGAGGCTGAGTCGCGAAAAGAATTAACCCAAAAAGGATAGCAACCAATAAAGCAATGGCCTTAATATTTAGCGCCCTTAAACGATATCTTACAGAACGAATCATTGTATCTAGGGATCTATTTTAGTTTTACAATTTGAATAAGTTAATACATAAACTACCACCAACTGCATAGACGACAAAACTAAATGTTGTAATTCCCAGTTGGCTCACGGATTTTCCATAAACCACCTCCTCAATGCTTTCTTCCAAATGTTGATACGTACAGTATCACGTGAACGCTATCGTATCATACAGTCCACTGTTGTAGTCATCCACCACCAGCCGTTTTCCACTATACTGTCTTCAAACTACCGTCGATGCCTACTTGAAAACACTGTCCTCTGGTAACAACGTCGACACTGACTAAGACTGTACAAAGCATTTATTGCTACAGTATGTGGTGTAGGTACTTCCAAGTACTCTACAATTAATAATCACCTGGCGCGGCGGCGTGAGAGGAATCCACTTGGCACTTTCACAGCAGCGTCCGAGGGCTATTTCGGCAGTCTATCTGGTATTAAAATAATAATTTCGAACCTTGTACTGGTATCAATCTCTTGTAGTATCGTCAATTATAATTTAGAACTTTACAAATTACTTGTCAGCACATCCAATGCCGTAGACCATGGAACTTCAAGGATGAGAGGAAATTGAATTTTTTCTCTCGCAGCATTTACACTTTTACAGTATATTGGACTGGACGTTGCAACTTTTAGTAGTCCTCTTTCCTGGGGAACGTACTGTCTGTCTGCTTTCCGGTTGTTCGTCCAGTTGAGTGCGAGGCCAATCCCAGTGTACCAGGGTAACTGTGCTACACCTTGTACTGTACAGTACTATCTGTCAGCACTCTTCATCCAGTACTGTACACTGTACACTGTACACAAGTCCGATGGAACTGGTGCTGCGTCCTAAACGTAAAATTTTTCCAGAATACAGCTGCGCAAGTCAAGAAATGGTAAACTTTGAGTGCAAAACACGAAGACTACAGTACGTACAGACAGACTACATTGTACGGTACAATAAGACTTGCTACCGGTACCAGACCAGTACAGCACTGTATCCACTTGTGACCGATAGTTTGTATTAGTAACTTTAAAGAAGATTACTCAATACTGCAATAAAAAGTAAGTAATAAAAATATCAAAAGCCAATTGTTCAAGATTGTACTGATCTGTCTTTGTGGAATTTGAGCCTAATTTAAATTTGCATTTCTTTCAAAAATTGAAAGATGATCTTTCAACCTCAAATACAGTACGGTTAGTCTAACCGGTCACGTCGTATTACCCTTTCTATTCAGTACAGTATTATGGCATCACTGGTTTCAACTTTTGAAATTGACGTTGCTGCGTTAATGACTTCACATTAATACTGAGGCCAATGAAAAATTGAGATACTGTATAACTAGCAATAAACTAGCTGAGGGTGCTGACTAGAAGCATCCAATATTGGTTCACAATGATCAATTTTTTCAAGTTTGAGTCACTATCCTGGCTCAATCACCGTACAATTATTTTATCATGATGCCGGCGTTAAAGTTTCATTTTTACTTATTATTGGTTAGCGTTGGTATTAGACCAACGTAAAGTTATCATGGCTTATCTTGGTAAGACAAGAATAGGTTAAAACTAGTTCTGATATCTTACGCTCTTAATGCTTATGTTTAACTGTCACACACCACTAGTGACAAAGTAGTCTACACACGCCAGTGCTTACGAAGAACGCCTCCTACTGACTTGAAGAGGCGAGATTCGCTATATCACCAAATAATTCAGTTCCAACGACCGAATACTAGAATATAATTATAGCGTTACTGATAGTGTAGACGAGGTAGTCAGAGATTTGACTACTGTTAATTACTCAAGAAATCTAGACAACCAAGATTATTGTATTGACAATTCAATAGCAATTGACAAATTAGTGGACCAACTAACCGACTAACTAACTAAAAAGTGGTCTTCAGGCACCAGCCTTTGATAGTCTCGTCAGAAACTCCTGGTGCGCATAAGTAAAACTATCCTTCAAAAGTATCTCTATGTGTTCGTATGTAAAACGCCAGCCTAGTTATCGGTGTCTGCCTGGCTCGAGCAATAAAGTTCAACCGTGCATCTACCGCACTGCGTTTTCTTATGAACCATTAATATTATACTTATGTTAGCATACCCCGTATATTATTTACAATCAATCACCGCTGGTCAATCAACATAATTGAGTTAATAAACCGCTACATTCTAGTTCACAATATAATATCAATCAATTTATTTCGTCAAATCAAGGGTATAATTGATTACATTTTAATTCAATTTAATTAATTGATAATAATTTATAGTATACAAGAATTATATTGTAATTCTTATCATGGACCTTGATAGAATACTAGAGGATTTAAAATTACTACAGGTAGACAGATATAGGGTCAATTGAACACATACTGTCAATAGACATGGTACACAAGGAATCAGATAAAATGCGCAACGACCAATCAAAATAACACACACATATAAATCACTCTAATATGTACTGTACTAGTGTAAAATAGTTCAAAGTTTTATTCAACAACCCACACTTACTTAACATTGTCCTTTGTAAACTTCTCTTCATGGTGGAATCATAATAATAAAAAACAAAGTGTATAGCTCATTGTAGTAACGACGAGCAGTCACATAACACTATACAATCTTAACCAAACTAGTCCCATAGTTACTGCGTATTAATAGGAATCCTTACAGACGTACAACATTAATTATGTTGTGTTAGCTAAATGACGATTTCCTATCTAAAGTTAGTCTATAAAAAAATGCTACAAATTCCAAAAGAATGCTGTAAAAGTACGAATCTATAATAAAGTAGAGGGAGATATCATATCAGTCATCTCAGTGATATAAGTACAGCATAAATAAGTATATGAGTAGTTATTTTACAGTGATATGCCTTTACAGATTCCGGAGTACATTTCAACAGGCAGATAATTAGGATCGAAAGTAAACTTGTAAGACCCGACATTGCAATTGCTATCGCATCGAACCGTATTCTATTATTTTTCGTTGATGCTATTTCTTCAATTATATTATTTTAATAATTCGTTGAAAATACATATATAAGAGCATGCACAAGGGCATACTTCCCTTTCCCTTTACATATGGATATCATTACGTTGATGATGATTTTTTCAAAGATAACAATGATTAACTACCTAATTCTACTTCTCTTGCTATACTAACATACTATAAGTATTGTATATGGTCATGATGTAATCAAATATAAAATAAAATTACTAGTGTAAACCAAAGGGCTAAAAATTCTAAAGTAGATTGTACTTTAGTAGTCGTATCTGGAGATTTTTTTTAAATTAAGTACTAAATAATATAAGAAATGCCAGAACATAAAATTATCCCACTATTTAACTAACTTGACAAAATTACACCACTATGAGAGAATCTTGAACCTTCAATAGGTATCATTGCAATGTAGATCTTAAAGTAACACAGGTGCTGATACCAGTCTTATAACGTAACAATTTTGTCGGTGCAATACTTACATTTATTTATTGACAACGTATAATGTATAGCACGTGATATGATATCCAGCAAGATAACTAAAGATAAATAAATAAATGTGCGTTTCCCGTCAATATACCACAGTTGAGGGTCAATTTGATGAATATTGCTGTAGAGAAATTAAGAGGTCTTTAGCTGCTTTTTTCTTCGATGCTACCCATTCATTCACCGTATTTGGATAATATATCTCATTTAAAGCCAAAGTTGCTTCTGGTATAAAAGCATTTATTCGCTGATCTAATTCTCGAATACTCTTCTTAGGTTCAGCCAGGATTGCTTTGTCTTTGTAAACATGGTAGCCCATCGGATCGTTAAAAAATCTTCGAAGTACCATGAGATCACTATAAATGACCTTCCATTTACTGATAATTGCAAATGTTTTACTTCCAGGAAAGTGACACTTCTCCTGGATATAGTCCTGAAAGCTAAAACTTAAAGAGATATTTTTCTGACATCGAAAAGCATTCGATACCTTCCGAACTAGTTGATTGTTAAGGTTTCCGAAATTTAAGATGCCAATGCATAATGCTAGCGATGGGATTCCGGCTGGAAGCAACTCACATAATGGTTGGTAATGATCGAAACGAGACCACCCAGTAACTGCTATACCTTCAAACTTGATCTTTTGATAGAATTTAATAATTTTCATCCAAGATAAATGGTTAGAAGTATGATAATCAATTGGAACAAGGTCATTGTCAGGTGCCAATGCTCCCTTAAAGGCACTTGCAATCCAAACAGTTTGAAACACTTTCTCGTAGTTTTCCCACATATTATCAGGAAAAGCATCATCCAGGTTGCGACGATATGCCCAAACCATTGGTACAAGTCCTTTCAATTTTTCCATTTCCGGTATTGTCCACGTTCTAATCATATCTTCCCAAAATAGCACATTTACATTTGGCCACTTTGATTTTATATATTTGTAAACAGCTATGACATGGCGGACATAAATCTCTTTCCTAGATAAATTGTGTTCCTTACACTTTGCGCATTTAGCAAGTTCGTATACCTCGTCACCTCCAACATGAAAGTATTTGGTGTGTGGATGTGACGTCATGACCTGATCAATAAGCTCCTTGAGCATTACAAGGGATTGATGGTTCGATGGACAAATTGCACGACGAGGTTTTGGAATTTCACTCAAGGAACTAAATTTGTCATGTTTTAATACAAATTCTAAATGGCCAAATGTTTGAACAAGAGGAATAAGTTCTAAATTCTTTTCCTCTGCCCAACGTTTAATAGTTTCTATTTCTTCATTAGTATAAGCTTCTTCACGCCTAATGACCTCCATGCTACCGGAATAAGGGAACATATCCTCGTATTCCATTAGGATACCGTCAACGCCTAGTGAGGCCATTATTGAAAAGAAAGGTTTATAGTAACTTAGCTTGGGGGGAGCGCCCTTTAAATCCAAGTGGACGATCTTTTTTCCTTTGAACTGATGTGGACCATCATGATCGTATATTTTAACGTCCATCTCGAGCTTATCAACGTTGTTAAGGTGGCCATTATTAAAAGCAATGATAACACTATCAGAAGCGTTGAGATAGGCGTATAACAAAGTCGTCAAGACCAGTAGGACAATGAATAATCCAAATTTTGCATTTGAAGCGTTCAACCTGATAAAGCGAAGCAGTTTCCATTTCAGTTCACGAAGCATAGCTTAGTTAACCCCTATTCAGCGCAGTCTATTATTGTACAAGTATGTTAATTTCTAGATTCGTATCACTTATTAAAACAATATGACTAGATTACATTCCAAGCTCAATGAAGAAGTAAACTCTTCTCCGGACACGGTATCTACCTACTATCTACTGTAGAAGTTAACAGACGTATTTACAACTCGATATCCGCATTATTCGGTTGGTATTTAGAAGAATCGATAACTACGTAGATCAGTACAGCAACCGTCCAACTAATCCAACTAACTTCTTATAATTTAGAGAAGCCGGCCAATACAATCAATGATGGTAGAGTAGAACGTTAATTAATAAATGTTCTTGGTTAGTTTGCACGCTTCCTCTGCTGGCATTCATTAGGGATGGAGCTTACTATACAGCCTCACTCTACTGACCCAAGTGTTAAGGTCTCTCACTCTTCAGACTTTAGGAAGGGAAAGTTATGGAAGTCGCTGGTACTCTATTGTTAGAGTAGTGTACAGTGTACAGTGCTTCAGAAGTTCTGAAGCTACAGTACGATTGGCTGTACTGTACTGTACTGTACTGTACAGTGCAGTACAAACACGTGGCACAGTACAGTACATAATGTACTGTAGCAGAACTGAACACAACTATTGAAATCTGAAACGGACGAAGAGCTGTCACTTATTAGTTAATTGAGACGAAAAGCCATTCAACAATCAACAATAGGATTCTAAAATAAGGGTCTCTACTGTACACAGTACTGTACCACGTGTTGTGTACAGTACAGTACTGCAGAGTCAATACCGTACTAACAACCGTATTGAAGGTTCGTACTACTCTCAATTAGCTTGGAGAAAAGAAATTGAAACAGTACAGTACAGTAGTTGAAGTTATAGTAAAACTAACTACAGTACATTGCGTTATAAGTGTGAGCTGCGCATGTACAGTATTAGCTCCTATTCTTATAAGTTATGACATTATTGTATTGAAAAGCGGCGGCTTACATACTGTACAGCGTACACTGTACAGTACATGCGCCGTTCACACTTACAGTACTGTACTGTACACTACAGTAATTAAGTTCGTGTAACAGTAGATTCATTAGTGCACGCATTTACTACAGCACCATAGACTACGTACAAAATACTTTCCGAGAAGTACAGTGTATCATCGGAGATATCCTTCTAACGGGGGTGTACAGCATTTAGTGGTTCGTGACTGTACTGTACTGTACTCATCATTTTCAGATGTGTGTCCTGTCATCCGTTTTCCGTACAGAGGTACACTGGTACAGTAATGTAGCTGACAAGTCACCATGATGGAGGTAATAGTAATTTAGTGTACAGTTCAAAACTGAAGCACGGGATGTACGATTATATATCAGCTTTGAACGTAAGCTAAATTACAGTACTATTATTACCTTCATCAAAGTGGCTTGCCTCCAACGATGAAAAACGGATGGCTGGACACCCATCTGAAAATAATAAACTTTACTTACAGTTAGTAGTTACTAGTTAGTACCATTATCATGGACATACTGTACAGTACAGTACATAGTGTACAGTGTACAGTACAAGCTCTTACGAGACGTAAATACTGTACTGTACACATAACCGGCCATCAGCTTGATTTCAGCTGATCCCTACTAAAAGATCACTTAGTTATTTACATAGGAGCAACCTTGCATCGAATAACCTCTGTCCTCACCTCCACTAGGGTAAACATCACCGGACTTTGAAGAATTCACTACCAATCTGCTCCAAAAAACGAGACTGATACTGGACAGTGTAAAGTACAGTACTGCAACAGTAGAGTTTGTACAAAGAATGAAAAAAAGTTTTTTTCGAACTTCTCACTCGCTCTTATTGTTTACACTATTGGCAAGACAATATACTGTACAGTCAGAATCAGCCCTGCCGAGCAAGACTGTACCGTGTACAGCCATACTGAGTGATAGGCAATTTTCACTTGCACCATCGCTTTAATTAATCAATTTTCTCCAAACGACAACACAATCAACAACAAGCTGCTTGCAAAGTGCTGTGTCATTCCATTGACGAAGTAGGAAATATTCTTTGATCGATTTGCTACATTTACTGTAATGAATAAAATAAGATAATTGTTGCACTGATAACTTCTGTAAAATTGAAATTGCTGTAGATTAACGTTCGATCGCATCACCATGAGCAAGGCAGATTCTCCGATACCTTTAGAAGATCCTACTGTGCTAAAGAAACAGAGTGAAGATCAATGTTATTGCGTTTTGGTTTTAGGAGCATCGGTAGGTAGCGATAGCTAGCTGATATTGTGCTTGCATAAGAATTCAAAATCTGTGTAGGCACTATTGCACATGATGCTTATACCATTTATCGTTGTACTGAATTATTTTACTCTTCGACTACGCCATGCATCACGTCGCAGTATTGGCATCCAGCCCTGTTAGTGCATAATTAATTAATTAATTGAATTGTTAATAATGATTATAAGTAAAGACAGGTATATAGCGATCGAAGCTCGGTCGAGTATGCCTAATTCCTAATTTATTTTGATGCAGCAGTAAAGTATATGGAAAACAAATTATAAGTTCTCCATAGACTTCAATCATTTTTATTGTGCTCAAAAAGTCTTGCTGTACGTACAGTACAGTAGCGCAGATGTACTCGTGGCGTAATGGACGTAGAAAAGATACGATGTTGATGTAGCTGACAGTTGCCTTCATAATTGCAGCTAAAATGGAAGCTTTTCCTTTAGTTCTGTATAGGTAGTTCTGTAGCAAGTCATACTCAGCGATCGAATATATCGATATGATCCGTATAGCGAATGCATGCAGATAGTCATCTCTCATATTAGGAGACTTGAACTCTGAAGATTTCTACCAAATCTTATATTCGTATGTCAAGTACCGAGCTCAAAAGTAACCGAACGTTTTAAGCAAAATTCATAGTCAGCTATTTAAATTCAGTTAACTGCTGTATTAACTTTCACACTTTTCGTAGCGGCGCAGCTATCGCTGTATTGTATTTACTGTCAATCTGCAATCGCGATTTGCAATATTGTTAATTCTCGACAGTCAAATGGAATGCTGTATAAACTCTGAAGTTTTAGCATTATACACTACAATAGTTGCATACATGAGCGGCTTTGATGGGTTTAAATGCTATCATGAGTTTTTCTTTATTAATTGTGAATGAAATTTTGCTGTTTATGTTGTATCTATATTTCAATTAATGTTCCGGTTTTATCTGCAAAGGTTACGTATTTCGATCGAGATTAAGGGTATTATATATATATGTTATATTACAAGTTATAGCACCTGTAGCGTAGATATTGATGGTTTGAGGTTGATCCTCGGCATGATGCCTATTTGTTTTGACATCGTAATGTAGCTTACTAACAGTGCATCCAGCACGAGATTCTAAAAACAGTAACTAATCAGTTATATACGATTGCACAATATCTATATGGATACAAACGTAAATGCGTGCCTCTATTCACAAAAGGACAGATGCGTATTTACTTGGTACAAAGTTATAACTATTGTTCTCGCTTACTCATTACATTCTAATAATTGCTGCTCGTATAATCGATTTATCAAAGGGTGATCTTGCAAAGAAGAAAATTTATCCAACGCTATGGTAAGACTTCTACGATACCACTTGCTTGATCATCCTATTGACTGGGACATATAATTTTTCATTTGTTTTTCCGTTATCTCTTACGAATTTAATTGTAGTAAACTAATAATTAATTATCAGTCCTTTTTCCCTCATACACTACAAGTATATTATTATACGTAAGCTGATAAATACAATTCTTGTATAACTCAGTAGTACTGTATTTACGCGTACATATATACTTCTTACTGCGGACCATTCAAAAATTGGTCTAGTAGTCCACCCTATTACCGGCTCTTAACGGTTTGCTGTGTAAATATCATATTAGGCGTAGCCAGTGCAGTAGCGTTATAACTTTTTGCTAACGATTGATGCTAAAATACACTGTATTCAATATCGCAATTGCTACCATAGGTTGCTTTACCGTGATGCTTTAGTACCAGAAAATACTTGGTTTGTTGGTTATGCTAGGTCCCATTTGAGTATGACTGAATTGCGCTCCCGCATTCAGCCATTTTTAAAGGTTAGTCTTCTAACTTGTGTTCTGTCTTAAATGTATACTGTATCTGTTTTATTTTTATACTGTACTTAACTTCAGTTTATTACATTGCTACTCATAACTCTCATGTGCTGAGAATACTTGTAGAATATAATCTGCCAGTATATAGCATGATATTTAAGACGAAAAGTTTTATATTATAATTATCAGCAACGTTACTGTATACTTTTATGTTCATCGAGTAGGATTGTGAAGCTGTAAACTTATAAAGCTTAATGTAATTATAATATTACAGATTTTACTAGGTTATGTAGTATGTACTGTAGATTTAGCATAAGTAGCCCATTTGTAGTTATATAAACAATAAAATAAATAATAACTGTGAAAAGTCAGTTCATGAAACAATAAGAATTTCTAGATAGTATCTCATGTAGGTATACTAATACTCAGGTCCGCAAGGGAGAGGAAGAGCGAGTTGAAAAATTCTTCGAGCGCTGCTCTTATGTAGCAGGCTCTTATACCGATAGAAGCTACTTCAGTAACCTCAACGATCATGTCAAGAAAATTGAAACGAATAAAAAAGGAAATAGAATATTTTACTTAGCCCTACCTCCATCCGTATTTCAAGACGTTACATCAAACGTTAGACATACTTGCATGTCTGGGAGGTATTTTCTATTCACCATTAACTACATTTTCGAAAAGAGTCAATTACTCTACGTTATTTGCGCAAAAATTGTGCGTGTACGGACAACATTAATATAGAGATATATCCTCAACTTGTAGTAGAACGAGAATATTACTGCACGATTGCATGGTTTTTGAACGCAAGGAATTTGACAATAAAATAAAATTTATTCCAGCCATCATACAAATATTTTTATTAATTTATTGTCAATTAGCGGATATAATCGCATTATTGTGGAAAAACCTTTTGGAAAGGATCTCCAATCCTCGAATGAGTTGTCAAATCATCTTTCTGGCCTCTTTAGAGAAGAAGAACTGTATCGTATTGATCATTATCTTGGGAAGGAAATGGTTCAAAATATTTTGATGCTGCGATTTGGCAACCGAATTTATGGACCAATTTGGAATCGTGATAGTGTTTCAAGTGTTATGATCACATTTAAAGAGCCGTTTGGTACACAAGGAAGAGGCGGATATTTCGATGAATTCGGCATAATAAGGTGCTATTTCAATTTTCATGCTTCGATTTTCTATATTATACTATTTACACTATGTAATAATATGCGCGTATAATTAATTAATATGTCGAAAATCAATTATGCCATTGCGCATATAATTGTAACAATACGCAATATGTGTTGTATTTCTAATTCGTAAAATCCTTAATATTTGTTATGAATCAATCTAGAGATGTTATGCAGAATCACTTATTGCAAATCCTTTGCCTAGTTGCAATGGAAAAACCTTGCTCCATAAATTCTAATGATTTAAGAGATGAAAAAGTTAAGGTGTTAAAAAATATGCAAGCAATTAAGTTAGAAAATACTATCCTTGGCCAATACGTTGGTGATCCAGAAGGAACTGGCGATGCTAAGAACGGCTACTTAGATGATCCCACAGTACCGCCAGGCTCTAACACACCTACTTATGCCATGTCTATATGCTATGTCAAAAATGAAAGATGGGATGGTAACTTACATGATATCATTATCGTATAGCGTTACCGATATTTAATCATTAGTTATGTGTTGCACGAAATATTGAAAAAGGGTGTAGGCTAATCAATTTCTTTTCTTTCTAAATCAATAGGCGTCCCGTTTATCATGAAATGTGGTAAAGGTTAGTTAAATAATATTACAGATTCTGCTGATAATAATCGTTGTATTTCTAATTTAAGGAGATTCTTACTTTATAAAAGCGTGGATAATAATGCAGTATTACGCTGTTTTGATTATAGCTTTGAACGAGAGGAAAGCAGAAGTAAGAATACAATTCCGTGACGTACCTGGTGATATATTTAACGGTGCCTGCCAGCGTAACGAACTGGTCATCCGTGTTCAACCTAATGAAGTAAGTTAATCAATTAAGGAAGGTGATTTAGGTTAAAGCATCGAATTATCCTGACCTTAATATTACTTACAGGCTATTTACATGAAGATGATGTTGAAAAGCCCAGGAATGATATTTAGGCCTATGGAATCTGAGCTTGATTTAACGTACAAGTCCAGATACAAAGATGCCTATGTGCCTGATGCTTATGAACGTCTTTTGTTGGATGTCTTTGCTGGTACTCAAGGAAATTTTGTAAGAAGGTAAAACAACACTTTTACGCTATTTATTGATTATTTTATTTGGCTATCGATTCATAAAATTGTCCAACTGCAAATAATATCAGGAACGACGACAGAATATAGTCAGATTAGCAGAGCTAAAATTTTTCTTAATTCTGCTTATATGTATATAGCGACGAGCTAGCTGAAGCTTGGAGAATATTTACTCCTATCTTACACCAAATTGAACAGGGAAATCCCGAGTTACATAAATATAGATATGGCAGGTTTGTGTAGTTGTAATAGCAACGGCGTTGTACTTTTAATAAAAAGGATAAATGATGATAAGTTAATACTTGAACATTTAATTACGATTTTTTAGTCGTGGACCGGAAGCCTCAGATAAGATGGCATCGGACAGCGGCTATATCTATTCCGGTACTTATCAATGGGAGCCACATCAGAACTAAATACTCATTTTACTCGACCTGGACTATTCGAGTATTTAGTAGTATTGTTGGTCTATTGGCGCTATTGTGCTTAGTGATTTACTTAAATAAGTGATTATATTAGCGTTATAGAATCTTATGGGCGATATAGCGATGTCCATTGATAGGCGTATGGTACTGGTAGTAACCATTTCATAGCTTAGCAATAAATTTGACTTAGAATTTGCAGCACTTGATTCTGGTTTCTATTCTTGTAATCTTATAATGGCACTGATTGTATTAAATGAATATGACTTAGCAGCGATCTCTTTATCAAATTGTGTAATCATTTTCCTCACTTATTAGATGAATATTAGCTACATTATATAATCGTATGCATGATAGATTGTAGAACGATAGCGATTATGTCGATAGTGTAGAATAAAATTTTATTCTGTGTTTTTTTGACACCCTAAGCGAAAGCAGTCAGTGTTACTATGTCTTCAAATAATATGATTTCCATATTTTGTGCTAACATCTAGCTCGAGGGTATACGTACCGTTGTAACGGGATCCCTATTCCCATTAATATCTAAAATTTATTCTCTTTAAATTTGATTGCATGCTATTCATTTATTCCGACGTTAGCTAACTGCAATCGTTAGAAAATAGACTTTTTTACAGTATTGTACAGTACTGCAAAAATTTCCTTTTACTAGCTTTTTTCGTAGAGAGAGATGCAATTATCGTATAGTAGACCTTCCTACTGTAATGCAAGAAGTTTCCATTTTATTCGCTTTTCCCCAAGAGAAATAGAATTATCGTACAATTGGACTTCTTTAGTGTAATGGAAGAAATTGTTCATTTTATCAGGCTATAGAGAAATGCAATCATTGTAAGATAATGTAAGAAATTTGGATTGGTTTTAATAGCTCGTAGTAAAACGAAATTCAATCGTTATGCAATAAACTTTCCATCAGTAAATGCAGTCAATTTCGATTTTACCAGCTTGGAATATCAATCAATGTCATTATCATACTCTATAGCATCTCATAGACCTCTAACAATCCCAGAATCTTCTGAGATTTTAGAAGTCCATGAACAAGACTGCGACAGTAATGGAAGAGTTTCGATTGCAGCAGTTTTAATCGACCTGCTGGAAAAATGTCAGAAATGGGAATTTCAATTTGGACAATTTTTAGTATGGAGAAAAAGGTGCAATACTGTACACTGTATAATCGAATGTATGCAAATTAGCACTTTATAACTGTATCATACAGCCAGTCTACTAGACGACCTAGTCTAGGGGAGGCCGGAATCGGCTGTTCATACAAGCTATCCTTTTGTCGCTGGTATTCATACTAACATTATTTGAAGTGTCTACTGTATTGTCCACTATACTCGATCGCATACTGGGTAAAAAGGATTCTACTGTACTTACTATTAGTCCATAACAGTCAAGTCCATAGCACTACCGCGGCGATCTCTTCTAAGACAGCATAGAAAAAAAATAATTCAGATCCATATTCTAAGTGTTACAGCAGATCAGAGCACTTAGCAATTTATAGAGTACTGGAAAAACTTTAGGGTAAGTGGATGATAGCCAATTTCATACCATGTTTGCCATCCTTTGGGTGTAATTATTTGAGAACTCAATCTAAACAGACTGCATGGTACAGCCATCATGACGTCATGATGGAATAGAGAAATTTCTCTTGGCCAACAAGGACAACAAAGTCATCGAATTTCATTCAGGAATTAATCGATTCTTGCTATTAATTTCGTCTACTTGCTAGCTGTAATATCTTGAGTAGCTATTCTGTCGTAATCGATAACATAGTCATAGCTATCTACAGTAATTTATTGTTTAAATTCGCTGAAAATTAATTCTAATTAGAAAGACGACCACCAATCATGACAGTGGAGTAGAGTAGAGTGGAGTACTATAGAGTTATGTGCGGTTTAATTAACTTTCCATTCTTTTCTAATATTTTTAATGGATTATAATCAATCTACTTGCAGAGCTACCGATATCCAATGTTGAGTGTTAAACAAGCAATACGTAGAAGAAAGAAGAAAGGAGACGATCACGAAACTTTAATTGATCCTATCAACCAAAGCGATAGTCATCACGACAAGCGCAACAGTAATACTAGCAATAGCAGCCGTAACGACGATGATTTTCAAGCAGATTTTGTAACTGAAGAAATGGAACAGTTTGAAGATCAAAGCGATAATGAAAGCATCAATTCTAACCATCAAGACCAGCAGCAACATCATCACGCTGCTAATAGAAATGCAGGAATAGCCGATGTAACGGAAGATAGCCATTCCACAGGGAAAACTGAAACGATCTGGGATGATCAAGAGAAAGATATTTACGAAAGTCAATTATTGCAGCTGCAGGAGCAGTTGGTTTCGGCAATGATTGAAAATCAAGCGCTAGGTATGATAATAATACTTTTTGTAGATGCGATCGATAGATCGCTTATATAAATTGTACAGTAGCGCTAAAATTAAAAGTTAATCGATTACTTATTAAATTTCTAAAGGCTGTCTTGACATTCAACTTGACGATCTAAACATTGCAGTATATTCCTGATATTTCTCCGCGATATTATTCCATTTTACTTTCGAGTAATGTAGATCATACATTGCCATTCTTGCTTATTGCTTTTAACATTAATCAGAAAATAGGACATATTTAGCATCCTGTACTTGTACGTATTGGTTGTCTAGCGGCATATTGATAGCATACTTATATAGTATTATAGTGCATGCAGGAAACTTGGGCTTCTTACATGTAGTACAATAATAATATATGGAGTGAACTTCTATGTTGTTTTTGATGAAAAATATTACTTTATGATGTTTACTTTCGCTGATTATATTATAGATATGAGAACAATGTCTGACATAAGCCCGATATAATATAATTATATCGTTATAAGATTCCCTTATAGATAATATATTATTATCTATTATGAGAATGTACCCAAAAAATATCCTATCTATATTAGCCTACAAATATCTTATTCAATGAAGTATTCACAGTGCATGATGAAATCGTAGATTCTTGATAAAATATTTAGCAGTATGGCATGCTGAATTGTATCAAATTGTAGTATTTAAAATAAGCATTATGAAAGCTTTCTAAATAACATTATTATTATTGCAATCTGACCACTTTTATGATGGATTACAGCTAGCCAACTTGAAGGCTTTAAAAATACCGATACCTCAACACTACATCAACAACTCCAAGTTCTGCAGGCAAAAAATGCCGAACTGGAAAGGTTGATGAAACAAAGTAAAGATGAAAAAGAAGCTATCAGGTAGAGGTTATAATATGAATGGCCTATAGTGCCTATAGGGTAAAAGAGAGAAATCATGCTTCAATAGTTCATACCTGTTAAGCAAATAATTTAGCAATAATTTATCAACTTTTTACTAATCGGATGGCATCTAATTATTTTATAAATATTTCAATTAATTACCATGATATTAGTAATTAATAATTACTTGTCATAAATCAATGATTACCAATAGTATAGTGTCGATAGTGTCTTATTCGAATTACAAATGCATATACAGTAACTTCCATAAATGTTTTAATGTGATAGTGATACATCAGTGTAATGCATTAGTTCATCCTTAAATTATATAGGCTATGGTTTAATTCTATTAATGACAGTCAATTTTATTCTATCCTTCTCGCATGAATATATTCACTTTCATGTAAAATTATTATATGAACGGTACCAGTTATGAAAGAGAGATTCATTCAGTCCCAAGTAGTAGCTTTAACAGATCCGATGCAACGTTAGAAGTACCAGGTAAGTTGTACTGTATACTTTTTGTTTCTATCGCAATATAGTAGTCATAACAAATAATGCGAACGAAAGGCATCTTATTTCTCTTCTCGTATTTAACTAGCAGGAAGCCAGGTTACACCTTTCGAAAAAGCAAGAGAAGTAGTAATAAATTTCGTAAGTTAAATTTTATACTCTTTCCATTTTGTAGTAGTATTAACAGGATAGCGTCGCAATCGGGTTTTACTGTATTCACTATGAGTTAATGATGTCTCATTACGTTTCAATATTCCAGCAAATAATACTTATCCCAAAGTTGCGAATAATATTATTAATAGACGTTGTAATGTATATATACATGAAATAAAGTATAACTTATGGCATAAAATATTGCTGTTGCTTTCAGTTTTATGATTTTATTGCGGACTTCTTGGAAGATGTTGAAGAAGAAGCTGAAATCAACCCCGATGGGCAACAATTATCAGTGAAAAGGTAATTTTCTGAGAGAAGTTTAATATCAACTGAATTTAAAATGTGTACTGTATCATTACGTTAACTCCTTCTCAATTTTTTGCTCATATAGGTTAAAGGAAAATATGAGACGATGCGGTTAGTAGTTCGTTAACAGCAGAATGTTGAATTCTTTCGTATGATTTACCTTGAATACGGTGTAGTTTACTGTAACAAAAAGCTGCATTTAAATAGTGATCTTACGCATTATAAATGGTTTAAATCTAAATTTGTAACGTTACTACTTGTTTATGGTTGACTTATTCAGCTCGAGCATATCGTCCTTTTTCCAATTGTATACATTCTATTCAAGATATCGTCTTATGGCGAAATCCACCATTGTCGATATTGATATTTCTAGTAAGGATTATTATATTGAATTTACATAAATAATTCACATCACTGTAGCTATATTTATTTTTAATTATGAGCTTTATAGATATTCTATTTATTTGTGTTAAATAACATTTATAGAAAGCTACTACATTGTGATCAAAATGTCCTTTTATTAATATTTCTACGTCAATGCTTAATAGCTACAAATGATGTCGTAAAATACTAGCGCATCGTTGTTCTGTTCTTTGTAATTGAGTATCCAATTTGCATAACAGTTAGAGCCACGTCGACTTAGAAATCATTACATTTCTAATTTTTAACCTAGTAATATCTTATTTGAGTTAAATATTTAATTGGCTATTTTTCAGGTTTATATGTATTGCATTTGGCATGGACAATTACTTACATTTATTTTGGGCCTGTTCATACTGCAGTTGACAATAAATTATCTTCACAACAAGTACGTGAGTCCATTAACTTTTCAATAAAACTTTACTTCGACTTGACCTTTAGCATTATGAATACTACTGTTAAAGCTAGCTTACATTTTCTTTATCAAGTGACTTTCAAACTGGTTTGCGTTTCTTTCCATTTTACAACGGTCCAAAGACGGATGTATGACGAAACCTAAAGGATTTTAGCTGTAATGTCTTGGTATTCTACCAAATAAGATGACAATCTATGTATTTTATGATTTACAAACGAGTAGGAAAAGACGGTGACAAGAGGGCTCTCGGATAAGTTTCAGATTGTTTTGCAGATCGCTAGGAAAGTTCAGGTTTGTTTATCTTTTGTGATAAAAGTTTTATTATACGTAATGAAAATAAGATATAAATCCTCCGTTGTTCTCAAATGCGACTATGTACTCTTGTAGAATTTCTTAGGATCTGCAGCAAATATAATGGAGAAAATTACAAAGTAAGATAGTTTGACAGATGTAAATATTTCCTTACATATCAATTTTGTCAGAGCTAGATGATGACAGTTATCTTAAAACTGATAGTTTCATGCTGTGGAAAGAACCGGATGGGACAAAATACTTATTGAAGATGCTTTGCTTAATGTTTGCTGGATCTATTCTCCTTTCGTCTCATACATTCTACTTAATCATCGGTCCGATTTATGTGTTCTATCTGATCAGTCTAGTACGCATATTTTCCTGTAAAATAATATCGTGCTATTGGTTTACAATATAGGTGTTGTGGCTGGACTGAAATTATTCATAACAACTCCTGTCTACCACAACTTTCCAAAAGTAATGACAACATGAATTTCTATCAGACTTCTGCGACCATAGTCATCATTACATAGCATGTTTTATTTCCTTTTTAGGTGAGACATCGATATGATACAATTTTCCGAATATGGAATTCGTTGCCCACCAATGCTGAGATTGAGGAAAGAGATAGAGCTGCCCTAATTGCTCGTCGTGAGCGAAAAAAACAGGTATGTGTGCTCACGCCTAGCTGCTGCCAGTTGTTAAATGGAACCTTTTTCATCCCATATTTACTTTACTTACTCTAGGGTAACATCGAGCATAATTCTACTGATGAAAATCAAATATCCCTTATCTATTCGCTATTTTCACTCCCGGCTAGTGAAAAATTAATAGAAGGTAGGTCCTTTATAAGAATTGCAATCAGCTATCCATCGCTATTGTTCTATAATTTGTTTTGTTGATATAACTCTATCGCTACAGGCTGGGAATCTGGATGGAGATGTGTCTTTGTTAGCAAAGAAAGAAGTATACCGAGTTATAAAAACGGTCGATTGTATTTAACTGATAAGTACGCGTATGAAAAATTTATTGGATTAATAATATACTGAATATTGATGAGTATACTTTCACCAACTGATTACTATTTTAATTGTAACGTCAATGTTCTATTTTAATTTCTAGCTATATTTGCTACCAAAGAGTTAGCGTATCGGGAATGCGCAATGTAAAAAATGATCACTTTAAAATTGCTCTTTCATGTATTACGAATGTGAAAAAGGTAAAATTTCGTGATTCTTGGAGGACACGACAGTATGCTTATTCTTACTTTCTGTTATCTGATAATCGTGGAAAAAAACATTAACTTGTAAGAAAATATACTCATTGTACTAGCAACGATAAGTCTCAAGAAATATCTATATCTATTGTGCATTTGATAGGCAAAACAACTTTTCTTTTTACCTGGAACGGGAACTTCACTAAAAATATATTCAAAGGTTGAATTTAACGACGCAGTGCAGGCACGTGTATTAAATATATGTATGATTATACTGTATACCATTTCCAATTTTATAGTAACAGTAAACAGTATAAAATGTAATATACTTTATTCGTATGCCAATGTTCTTTTCGGTGTGTTAACCCATGAATTTTAATGTCTGTAGGCACATCTATTTGGAATATTGTATCGCGATGAGGCTTATGATAGTATTATGAAACATGGAAGAGAACGAAATTTGCCATGGGCCACTTAATAAATCTATAGATGACTGTCTTAGGATAGTTATAGTAATAGTTAGATTAATTGACAATAACAGATCTATTTTTAAATGCTAAGTATACAATACAGAAATTAATTTTATGTAGACTATTAGGTGAAGCAATTTCTTAGTTCGAAATTGGTTTCAGTTCTACATCGATATGATTTTAAATGTTATCTATTAACTAAGACGGTATTCATAGACTGTACGTCGATAAACTTTAGTCCCTTTAATATTCAAAAATAGAAATATGCCGTACCTACATTTTTTCTGAACATCGAATAATTTAGAGTATAGAGTATTCATTGGAGGGTTAAATGGTACCTTTATTAGATGTAGGTTGAATCATAAATAGATACGGCTTTGTTGACATTCATATTTACAAATTTGGCTCCGATATCATACCTGTTAGTTGATGATCTGTTCTGCGTAGCAGGCAAAGTATGTAATGTCCTCCATATAACACAAATATTTCGAATAACATGCAGCTCTAGGTGAATTTATTCAGAAATACTTGGAGTAGTTTCAGGAATAATCTGTCTCATGTATAGTCTAATGCTATAGTATCTTTCTTTTATTGATAGCTTGCTTAGTAATAGACACACGTGCGAATGCTTACTGCTCGGTATATACTTGCTTATAGTAGTAGAAGCATGTTATGACTCATAAATATTTCAGCATTGGTTGCGACATTGATCGTGCAATTTTCTTACCTGATATCATTAGGTCAAGAACATTCTTATACATTTTTATTTGAAATCTAGGGAGATTGAGTAGGCATATTAGCCACTAGTAATATACGCATATGTATGAAAGATAGTTCTTGCTACAGCTAATAAAGTTGGAATTTATAGAAGAATAATAAATCGTAGCGTGTACGTTTGTGTCTGCCGTATTAATTATGAACATTAGCCACGATTACAATACCAAAGTAACTACACAAGTATTGATACCCGTTGTATAGTATCATAATTAAAAAAATGAAAATTGTTGAATTAATATATGATGTGCACAATTTGCAATGTAATACGTATACAGTTGTTACGGCACTATGTTGCCTAAATAATACTTTCTATTTCAGTGTTATAGTAGTTGTGAGCCTTTTACAAGGGTAGTTCTTAGGCGTTATAGCAGCAGTTCTATATTCTTGCTAGATCTTTCGACAGATTAGGGTAGTAATCTGTAGAAGCAACTCAAAGTAAGTGCTTTGCGTTAGACTAGTAAACTTGTCAGGAAGTAGTCCATGACAACAGTACTGTGCAAGCTCACTTTTATCCTGAAACACTAATATGTATAATGTGAATTAGCATGGAACAGGTTGAATATAGCATCAATTCAGGTATAATCATACAGTCCTTTGCTATAAATGACCAGAATTATGGACTACCACTAAATGAATATTTAGTAGTCCATGCCAAAATAGATGTAGAATCATTTGTTGTTGCCTATATGTAAGTTTGCATAAATATAATAATTAATTATAATATAAACTATCTGCGTTGCCCTTTCCGAAATTGGGTATTGCCTATAGTGAAACGAAATGATTTTGCAAGGGATTTTTCATGGCAGTTGCAATATTCTATACTATGCACTACATTAAACTACGGCTATTGCAGAGATTCCAAAGTACTGCTACTTCTTAATAGCACTTATATTTTCCTTCTTAGGCAATTCTAGTCCTTAGTCAGCTACTCTAGCAGATTAATTAATTATCATAGCTGCAAGCCAGCGCCCTAGACAGGCGCAGTATACAGTACTGTAGTACTGTATACAGTATATAGGTTCAAGACCAAGCTTAGTAGCTATACGGTACCATTCAGACGTTACTGTACTGCACTGTACACTAGCCCCACTGGCAGTCCCTACGGAGCTCCTTTGCAAACGTCCATTTTTAATTAGGTTTATGGCTAAGGAAAGCATTTATCTGCTGTAAGACTTCAAAATTGTAGTTCTTCCTCTAGGTCAATCCTATAACCTTAGTCACGATGTCTGATAGCGTTTGTTTTAAACAACTGCAAGATAAATCACTGCCAAGTCATGTCAGTTATGTTCGCTGGTCGCCAAAGATGGATCTAATAGCTATGGCAACGGAAGAAGGCGAGGTAAGGGGGAAGGAATAGCGGGAAAATTCAATAGAGAAGAAATAGGCTTATGGTGTCGAATTTTTCAATCTCTAACTATAGCTATGTAGTGTACAGTACAGTAGTTGACAAGCATTTATATTAAGATTTTAATGTATTGAAATGTGTAATGGATTTCCATGGTTGACTATTCTCTCCATCTTGTCAAGATCTGGTTATATCGACTATCATGGCAAAAAGTATGGACTATTGCTGCTGAAGGCAATCAATGTAAAATTAATTGTTTCGCATGGCAACCTGATGGTAGAGGTAAGCTTAATTCTAATGATACTCTCTACTTGTCTTTATATTGATGAGTGTGTAAGCTGACTTCATATCATATCAAGGATAATGGGCAAACCTGTTGCTTATGATAGAGCTAAAAAAATCTCAGTCAATACAGCGATGACATGCATCATTCAACTAGTATAATCCATTTTTTACTCCAGTCTTAGCTGTAGGTAGGAGTGATGGTCACGTCAGATTCTATGATGTAGAGAAAGGAAATATATTAATTAATTGGTCACAATGGAAAGGATTAGCTCCAGTGATTTTGATGGATTGGATTGATGTTCTATACCAAGAGACGTAAGTACAAGCATCGTAAGCGTCATTGGTCTGGTTTAAGGGAGTCATCAATCGCTAAGAGTAGTGTAGGAGTAACGATTCGTGATAATTACTAAAGACACACAGTATAGACTTAAAATTGAGATGACAAACTACTCAGTCTAGTACTGTTGACGCATACGCATCCTGTAAGATGTAAATTTCTTTATGTATCATCCAACGTTCATTTGAATTTGCTCTTGATGTAGACCTGCTTCAAGCCAGTTTTTGATTGATCCAATTTCCACTTATGCACCTGAACTACCTCTATTACTGGAAAGGTTTGCCTCTTTCAAATTATCGTACGATATTATCATGTAGTACAGTAGCAGTCCTATTCTATCCAACTGTGTCAATATCTTTACAGTGGTAGTGCCTCCATTTTCAACGATTCGACGAATCAAGTTATTTTAGATAAATGGTTGAATACAAGGTAAGCAACGAACATCATCCATTCTTAATATTGCAAGTTCCTACATGTCAGTTGAATCTATCGTACAAAATTAAATTATATTTTTTACTATTTTTACTGCAAAAAGTGTATTAATGACATGATCAATTTCTTAAACACTTAATAATAGCTCGGCAACTCTTTTAATTGTTGGCTACCAGGTAAAATCAATATTGTGGCTGTTAATACTTGCATTATATTATTATGAGAATGATCGGCTACTTAATATCGCAATTATTCATCCGTAGACAAAGTCATTATCAAATATATGCCTGAGCTATTAAACAAAATATTTTGCATATTACTTTAGTTAGACGGGAGAAATATATCATTTTTGATGGCAAGACCATTCTGTAATATATGTATGACATATAGAACTTTAAGTACCGAAATATCGTTGCTTCAGCAAGTGTGCAGTGTGTGAAACAGTTCAATAAATTGATAGAATCGCAGATAGAACTGATACTCCAGTAAACAACTGCGGTTCAACTATTAAAAAAGTTAACTGCTTATTACTTTCAATTGCATAGAACATTCAGATAAAATTTTAACAAAACGTAAAAGTTCAAGTAAAATTCTTTGTCATTCACTTTTACAGGATGGAAAGATACATATTCTTCAATATGGATTATATTTAATTTTCGCTATTGATATTTGTCGATGTCATGATGCATTTACCAATGTCAAGGTGATACCATTAGTTGTAATAAATATGTTTTTCATGATGTAGTAGCTGCAAGTTATAACTTTCCTTAATTTACATAACGTTGCTATTTAATTCTTATTATAGCTTTTCAATATTATAAGTTGCTGCTATTCGAATGCTACTTCAACCTTCAGTATTATATTTGGAGTTGCGCCGAATAATGCCGGTAGTTTGGAGAACCATGAAGTTATAGTTAATGCTGTGGTATGAGTATATCTGTAATACTCTCAAACAATCACAGTAATACAATGACTATGGTCTTAATCAATATTGAAATTTAATCTTAGTACGATGTAACCATGCTAACGAAGCACAAGCGGCAATTGACTCAAGTGGCTCGAAGATGTGTTTCGATACTGTCCTTATTGGAAGTAAGTAGCGCGAATAATTTAGTACTGTCTAGTACAGCCACATACAATTTGTATATGTATAGCCTATATTCTAAGTATCCATTTTTTTCAGTATCTAAATTATCTATGCAATAGCATGAAAGAGAACTGGGAAGATATAAAATTAACTATGGATTCAAGACTTCACGAATTGGCCAAAGTGACTATAATTTATAACAGACTGCCATTATAGCACAATTCGAGTTACACCGCAATTTTAATCAATTTTGCTATTCGATGTTATCTTTATCCTGAATTAAATAGACTATAGGTATTCGTCCTGGTGATACAGTCTACGATCAGTTCCTGTTATTATTTACCCGCGGAATTACCAGGTCATTTTATTTCATCAAATTCTTTTGAGATGCAGTCCTAACATCTATATTATGTTCGTAGTGCTGAAATGGAAACGTTTCTAACTAAAGATTTATCATTACGGGTGAGATATTGCTGTATTGTTGCCCTTGAACCTTTGTGGTTGATAAAGCGTAATAAATAATAATTTATTTCTTAATCTTCTAGAATTATCGAAAATTAAAACAATCTATTGAAAATTCGCATACTAAAATTTATGATCTTGCCGTAAAGCTGGTGTTAAAGTAAGATTAACACATATTCTAATTTTCTTGAACGGATACATATCCATAGACTTATCTCCGTAGTTCATATTTTAAATTAGCCTATTTTATAAATTTATCTAGCGTATGGCCTACACTTTTATTACATTTGTTGGAACTAAAAGGAATCTTTAATCAGCCTCAGTTTCCCAACGCTGTTGTTAATTTTGTGAATGGTAATATTCGATACCTTATGACAACGCTGACACATTAATCATGCACGCTATTGATAATCTTAATACGACTTAAATCATATTTATTTAGGGTGTGTTTGCAATGTTGGATCGTTAATATTGAAAGGCCAGGAATTAATAGAGTAAATTTGTAAAGAATTTTTTGTAGCGATTACAAATATCTTCATCAAGTCTAATTGCGAACAACTTATTTTCCACTATAATTGACAATGTTAATAGGGTTATTAACAATTCGTCAAGAAGATACAATGCCTTTTTTAAGTGGTTAACCATAGGTAAGTTCAGGATTCACTAATCAGAAAATAACATTTCAAATCGAGTATGATAAATAAATAATTGCTAATTAATAGAATTTAATCATCATATTTACGCTTTTAAAGTACTCGCAAGATATAACGAAGACTTAGAAGTGATTGACAATCAGGTATATTGAGGCTTTCAAATAATTATTTTATTTTGATATGCATTTTTAACAGCATTTTACGAAATAGTTAAACAAGGAAGAACGCACCTCACTTATGGAATTTTTACAAGAGCTACTGCCAGAGGTTAGGTTTAGAATACTTTTTTTATTGTCTAATTATCGGCGTTAGTCAAGAGAATAACTGACTTAATTACCTTTTTTAGAATGAAAGTTACGTACAGCAACACTTTGTTAAGGAACGAATTGGCCAGGTACATTCTTATTTTATGAAGTTAAAATGTTTTTTGATACGTGCACTAACTGCATCATTATCAAACTTACCCTTTTTGCATCGCAGTATTTCCTGGAAAGAGATTTGGAAATAGTTCAGGTATGCTGGTTGTATTATAAATTTTCTCACAATGTATATATAGCTGCTAAAACTGTATTCTACTTTCATATACTCTAGGATAATAGTAATACATACTGGAGTAAACTCGCGCAAGAAATTCCTGAATTAAAGAGTTAATACTTGATAACTTTTCCTTCAATCTTCTCCTTATAAGCTTTCTCATTTTGTTTAAATTTGATTTCCTTAACATGTCGACTTCAGTTTCTAATAAAATTCACTTTTAGCTCTAGATAGTGCATTCGTATATCAACATTACCCCGAAAAATCTTTGATTCAACTATTCAATCAATTGCAAGAAAATTTCCGAGAAATAGTTGCTACATCTACGGTGACTAATGTTTTTGGTGTATTCATCATCTTTTATTTTCATATTTTTTATCGCTAAAACCTAGATAATGTAATATTTATATTTAATCACCACTTAGCTGCAAGACGTGGCCATTTCTATTAAGCCAGCATTCTTATTTCCTGTTACATCTAAGTACATATTAGTTATTTATCACCTTACCCTGCCCATTGCTTCTTGTTGTGTACTCAAACGATCTCTATTTGTTTTATATCCTCACAGCATTAGTAGAGAAGATAGATGTTTAAATGCATCACAGTAAGAATTTATTATATATTTTATAACGTTCTTATGACAGTAAACGAAGATAATACCCTGATAATAACGAAGATTTCTATTATAGGTCAATTGTTGAAATTAATGGAGAAGATTATATATACGGAATTTACCAAATACCTGAACGTGCGACATCCCTTCTTGTGATACGTCAGAAGGATGTAGCTAGGGACGAGGAAATGTAAGGATCTGAATATCTTGATGTTTATTAAATTTACATATCAAACAGTAGTGAGTGTAATTATGTAATTATGCTTTTACAGTGATGATGATATATGCTGGAATTCTGTCGAAGCCGCCCTAATAAATTTAAAAAATTTCGGAAATAGTGTCCTAAGGTATGAAATGTCATTTATTGTACATGTTTAATCTTTCAAACTCTTACATCAACTGAAATATTGTTAAATTTTCAGCGAAGACGCTCGGATTTTAGATTTTGCTACGTATCGTGAAGATCAAATAACTACACTACTCTTTTCAAACGATCATCAAAATTCTCTGATTGGTCAATTATCGTTAACGGAAGTTGGATTATCAGATTCTCATCAGTTTACTACTTTTAACGTAGAAATGTTAAATTCTTTTTTCGGTGAACACTTTATAGACAACACCAAGACATTGTAAGTAGCTTTTTCTCTCTAGTTTAAATAATTCTATGAATATATGATCTAAAGATAATATAAAATTGATTATAATTATGCATCTAGACTTGATAAATCACTGAAATGCTACGAAGCCAATCTGACTTATCATTATAAGCTAATAAAATTTTCGGGAGGCCTACTCGACGTCAGTGGGTCACGCCGTGTCGGATGCATCGTATGTACAATGAATTTAAACTGTGTAAAAGATAATAATTATTACTTAATATTACTTCAACCGGTATTCAATTGTGGCAGTACACATACATGTTTATTATAAGTTATAACCTCAGTACATAATAGTAGAAAGTGCCTAATGATACAATAGATTGTCACTCATCGTCCTATTTACTGGATTTACTACAGCTTTCTAAAAGTAAACGACGAATTTGTTTCTTGGATATGGAAGCAGAAGATGAAGAAGCCTATTCTTCAGAAAATGTTTCAATGGAAGATCTTCAAAATGATTAATTCTTATAATCATCTGCACAATAATATTTAACTGCCACTAAATTTGATAGCAAATATTTTTCACAATGTCTTATTTGTAAGTTATGTTTATAAGAACAAATTGTACAGCGTAGCATTACCATCTTTTATGACAATTATTAACTTTATTATCATAGAAAGTGTACAGTAACTTTGTATAATTAAAATGCAAACTATCTTACATATTGCCGAAGGTTGTTTTAATCAAATACTAAATATTATCAGTAATAAAAAATGACAGCGCTTCTTGTGTATATTTGATACGCAAGCTATCTATTAACAATTCGCTGCGAAAATAGCATCAAACATTGTGACATACGTAAATAACTGAATTATATTCGATCATAATTAAATTTGAATAAAAATGTAATGGTTATAAATTCATGTGCAGTCGATAATTAGATCACGCAATCTAAAGGCTAAAAAATCACACATCCATTTGTTAAAGTAACATTTCATTAACATTCAATGATTGCTTTACTATTTTACAATTTAATGAGCATAGACGAAATATATTAGTGAGTACATAGACTATCCCAATTTAAGTTTCGTTGATGGACCTCGTTCTCTAGCCACTCTTCATAATTTTTAATAAAAGCATCTGCAAATTGTATTTCCTTAGATAAAACACTAATCCAATTATTATCGTACGGGAGACAATCTGGTAAGACTTCCGATTTTAGATCACTATAGCGGCGGTTATTGAATCTTTCAATTTGTGCTCTAAGGTCGCTCTCTTCCACTTGGTAATCCCAAGGTTGACTGTCTTGATCTAAAACATTTTGAATATAAGACTAAGATAAGAGTATCTTCAATGTTATTAGAATATTCAAATTTAGCATTGCACTTTTCCATTATAGATGCTGATGCTACATACCAACTCCGTATGCCCAGTCATCATTTAAATGATGACGAACTCGTTGATAAATCATTGATACAATTTTCATGTTCGACTTTCTCCAGTTACGGCCAAGATATCGTGTCTGAGGTTTAATCAGCTATCGTGGTCATTACAACGAACAGAAAAGTTAGTACATTGCCACAGTACTTTACGTAACTATGCTGCGGTATTTATTTCCGTTAAACTCTAAGCATAGATATCAACCTTCAAGAGATAAAGCTGTAACGTCTCTTCTTTCAGCTTCAAAGCTCGCTTTAATATTGGAGCTGACTTGAAGACAACCAGCATCTGTCGAGAAATCACAATATATTTATTACAGTAAATACGCTTCTTAATTATTAATGAACCTTTTCAATTAGTGTATATATATAGTATCAAAAAGGGTATCACCACCTACAGTGAAATAACTCCTATAGCATAATAAAAAATAAGCTCTATATCTTAATATATTGAATTCAAGCATAGAGATAGATGCCTAAGTACGTTAATCCACATCAGTTCATTTTCTATTACCATGATGCGAGATGGTCTCCATTTTGTTAATTTTTGTAAAATTCGCGTCAAGTTAATGCACGAAAATATGCCTCGCCAACTATAGGTAGGGTTCTCCTTGTCATCGTGCTGCAGATATTTATATAGTTCCAATTTTAGAAATAATACCAAATACGTATAAAGAACAAAAAGTATCGTTTATTTCGAAAAAGATAAACTCCAAGATCAATGTGAACGTATTTAGAACCCTATAGTATCTACCGATAAAATATTGAATTTGTTCAGCACACAAGCAGGGAATTCTAGATTTTCTGTCCCACTAAACAAAATTAAGTACTTGGTTAATAATTATAAATACTGTACATACAAAGAATTATAAGATAATACCATGCTATACTAATGTAGTAAACGAAAAAATATTAGCTATATCATTACTTTGTCATATTTTTGATAATTTAGAAAAGTTACCTATCCTTTACCGCCAATACATTAACAAGATTTTGGTTCAGATGTTTCAAGATCAGAGGAATGCAATTTGCAAATACTAAATTCTGAGCCATATGTTCGAACTAAATGTTAAGTTAAGATAACATCAATAAGAAATGTTCAGAAAAATACCCATCAGTATATATACATTCTTGTGTATCGCAGCTACGTCGTAGTACATGTATCAATAAGGATCCGTAAATGATACCTGAAGAATGTGGTTTACTTTAAAATGCTTTAGCAGTAGCAATAAAATTGCAGAAATGGCTTCTACAATGATTTCCTAAGTATTAACAAACATCTAAGTAGGGTAAAACCTTTAAATAACTGCCGTTTTAGCTGCAATAGATAAAAGTCAACTTTAAAAGTAATAGCTGAATTATTTTTACTTTATGTCTCTCAGCATCTACAGCCACTTTCAAGGTCTGACGCATTGTAGATCTAAAGAAACATCAAAATTTTTTTAACTTTTTGAAATATCATATGCGAATACTGTGTTCATGGTACAGGTTTATAGATATACAGTCGGATTCGTATACGAACTTACGCATTTGCTTTGGGCAATACTTCAACTAAAATATTGAAGGATTCGGTTTTTGATTTTGTCGTAGGAGATGCTACTAGTAATATCTTCAATAGCGCAATCTGTAGCAAGATTGATTTCACGCAAAGATGTTCTTTTAATAGTGGGTAGTATTAAGGCTAGCTATAGGGAGATATCCTTCCCGTGCATAGCAAAAGAGTAAATAGTTACCATATATTGCTGAATTTTGGGTAATATAGCTTGATACAATATTTCCGTCGGATTATCGGCTATTTCATCTTTAAATATATTCTTAATTGTATAAAAGAATGTATGTTTGAGTAAAATTTGCTAATAATATTTTCAATTAAGCTAAACTGACCTGTATTGCATCCTGAGTTAATTTTTTCTCATTCTTAATTTGCCATTCACCATGTGAAACGTAGAGATACTATACAACAATTATATCGAGTGTTAAACATCGCATATGAAAACTTTTTTAACGGAACAGATATGATACAAACCGATTTTAATACTTTTAGTCCCTCAATAATTGAAGTTGGTAAACCAGCATCAGTGGAATTATCCCTTAAAGTAGTAGAATACAACAACATTGAAAATGAGTCTTTTCAACAATGCAAGAGATTTACGACAATTATAATTATAAGAACTAGCACATAAAATTTACCCTTCCAACTTATATCCTAAAAACTTTAGCCGAGCCTTTTCAAGAAAGTTATTGATATCGTTTTGCCTAATCAATAGTAGAGAATTAAACAGTATTTAAAAATTATGAACAGAAAAATTTAGTCGTTAAATCAGACTAAATGATCGTACTGACATATTTTCTCGCTACTTACCTAACTTTTGGTTTCAATAGGGCTAATTTCTGAGTTGTAAGCTTTCCCTTGTCTTCAATTCTGTGTTCTCCATTTATATCAGTCAGTTCATTTGTGGACGATATTAAAAGCGAGGGAAGTTGCGGTTTTAAAGGAAGAATATTAGGTGAAACTTTGTCGTCATTCCAATCGTCTAATTTAGCGGCTTGACGAGCGTCATGCTTTAATTGATGTATTTTATCCATTCCTCCTAGAGATACCTGTAATAAATCGCCATTTTACCCAATATATATAAATAGGTAGGCAAATTTCCGATATGAAGTTGATCAATGGTTAGATACGATACTATTTACGACTATCTTACCAAAATAGTTTTCCATAATAGTAATACAGTTTTCTTAATTGAAATTTCACTTAAACTCCCACTACAAAATTTAAGAGCCATTTCGAAAAGTATGTAAGCCAATGTTTCATTTCCAGGTGATATTGGTCGGCCTGCATGATTTGTTTTATACGCACAATAAGACCAAAAATAATAAAAAAGTTACATAGGTAAGTTCAAGCATCATTTTTACCGAGCTCATAGATGAAATTCGCCCTCAAAATTTGTTTACGGCTGTCGACTTCGTCCTCATTATTTCCAATGGAAACAACTATACAATAAATTATACCTAGATATATACTGTAACAATAAATAAATACAAAAATTACATGCTATACAGCATAGCCTATATTCGTATTCTACACAATACGCAGGCAAACGATTAGGTATGAAATACAAAATCAAAAAATGTAGCCATAGCATACCTAATCCTTTTATTGGAATTACTTTCACTAATTTGATCTTCACCATAAAAAATTGAACTGCAGTAAGACCCAAAAATTGAGTTAAAGGGCAAAGTACTAGTGCATAGTATCGTTAAATAACTATGGTGATATGCTATATTTCAAATACTTATTCCAGCACTAATACAGAATATAAAAAGGAAATAAGCAATAGCCAATTTCTACTTACTCTACTTCTCGATTCATGTTTTGGATGCAGGTGTGAAAAGCTTGATACTTATACAATAGGTAACAGTTTTCAATAGCCTACGATAAATATTAGATAATTGATTGTATAATTATGCATTGCAAATTTTAGTAATCACTTAAAATAATAACTGAACTATCTCCGCTCAATTAATTTTCATATGTAATCATTAGTAGTAACCAGCAAAGTATAAAATGAAGTATCGAAAACGTATACAGTATAAAGATTAATAAAATGGAAAGAACGGTAAAAATATACCAACATGTCACATACACAAACAAAATTATTTTCTATCTAATATAGGGCTAATACGAGTATAGCTATTTTAAGAAATTATACTATTTTTGCTTCTATCTTACGCATTTTTGTAGCATTTCTTCCGTAGTATACTCGCCAAATACTCCTATTTAATTATAGCAAGAATGCTATTAGAATAGGTCTGTCAAATTGTAAGAGTCACAACTAAGTAGAACAGTATGTAGTATAAATGATATAATGTAGTAAAATTTTAAAGTCTACAGTGTTTGGCGAGGTTAGCTCCTTGTTATATTCGTATACCATATATTCAAAAGTAATTTATTAATGCTAGATGGTCGTATATGTTACCTAGAGCAATATAGAGCATTGCCCGACTACTTGAATCTCGAACAACTGGATTAGCAGAATCCAGGTCATCTAGTAAGCGTAAAATAATTCTCTTCCGTTCATTTTCCGTCACTTGCAACCATAATTCATCATTATCAGGGTCTGCAATAGCAGAGATGATTATAAAAAAGAAGTACATAAGTCAGACAACTTTCATGCCTATGAGAATATCATACATCACCATATTTACAGTATTGTACATTACAGCATTATTTTTATCATTTAGCGCTTTAGACTGGATTGAAGTGCATAACTATCCGTACAGTAGTCGCTCATTATCTACCGTCAGTAATGGTGAAAGTTTAAAGCCTAACAACGATGGAAGTTAAATTGTAGTTATACTATATCGTAGTTTGTTCCAGTATAGCATCGTGGGTACAGTCAGAAAGCATATATCAATATGTAAATATTGGATGTCTACTACAAAGTTCTGATTTAAAAACTCATTTCACTTCAATCCGATCATTTTATGTAAAGAGATTGTAATATATTATTTTCGAATACGCATATCTGTAGCATGACGTAGCATACTATTATCATTACTGTCATTCATTCATTAATTAATGGAACGATATCGAATGAGACCTACCGTACTACTGTACTGTAAAAGAATAGACTTTATTTCAATTTTTGATATCCGTTAGTGTAAATAAATGATGACCAATCACTAACTAGTAACATCAAGAAATTTTATTTTAAAAGCAGGAATGACTACTAGATGAATTTAATGATTAATTTACCATTCAAAGCATTACCAATTGCTAGTTTATATTCCTCATAACATAAACGATATTCCAGGAACTCAGTATGTTCCAAATAACTGTAATATTCTGCAGGAAAAGACCAATACAATAATTGAATAGTCACGAATGATTCAATGAATACGATTACTTGATCGAGCAAGAAACCACTACAATATCTTGTTTCTCAGTACCTACCGCCTAGTTGCGTTAAGTAACTGTTGGTATCCTTATAAGCAAATTCAATTTCGGGAGTATCAGGCTAAATGGATACATAAATAACAACATGATTATTACAAGGCAAATTATCCTGTATACGCTCGTCAAGGTATCCAATCCATTGTGTACTTCTACTTGTAGTGAATCGTAGGTACCTACGTCTACTCATTTTGACTAGATTGACGTGATAACTGTTTTAAGATACTACATGACTACGACAGTAATAATGTTGTAGCAAACTTTGCGCTATCGCACATTAGCAAAGTACAGCAATACGTAATATGCTGGTAGAAGAGAATCGCAATTGAAGCATTTTAGTACAATGTTACTCCTTGATGATAACAACTACAAACTTACTTCTTCCAATTCTCGTTTCTGAGCTCTCAATAACTCTCTCAACTTGGATAAATTTTTAATATGGGGTCCTGCATTAGCCTTTTGTGGCGCTTCTGTGCCATCCATGTTGATTAAGTTGAAAAGCAGCAAATTCCTGTTTCCTAGCTATAGACAGTTGTAGTCGTGATGTTGATCCACAGCGAAATGCTGCGCTGTGGTCATGGACTTACTTCTAGTACAGTACAGTACTGTAAATGCATCTACTGTACACTGTACACTGTAAAGTATTGTACTGTACAGTACAGTATGTTCGGTACAGTACCCTACCGTACCTACTGTACGCTATGTACTGTAGTACAGTCCTAGTCCGATACAGTACAGTACAGTACAGTACAGTACGTTAACGCCCGTGTTTTTCTTCGATCTCTACAGTACTGTACTGTAAATTCGTACTTGTTGTGCAATGGAAGATGCGTTGATTTTCGTTTCCAATTTTTGGATGGCAAAGTGGTGTGCTGTACTGACAGTAGAGCACACTAGTAATTATTACTGTACTGTGTACTCTTTTCCTCGATGAGAAACTCATTTTTAGACTCTGAAAAGTATGGGGATTTTCATTCAGGTTATGAATGAGAACCATACACACAGAGGCTAGTAACACAACTGGTCTACTATACTGTATAACATACAGTACAGGACAGTACTAGAGACAAGAGACACTTCTCAATTAACTCGTACTGTACCGTAGTTGTCAGTCTAAGCAGAGGTAAGGACTTCCCTATATCTGACATCCAACAATAACGCTCTCTTTTACCATTATAGATTTTTTGGACATTACCTTACTTTACAATACAATACCTGGTGCTAATACTGTTGTGTATGATTGGTTTGAGTATGTATTGCAGTTCAACACTTGAAACTGAATCAATCACTCCTAACGCACCTGTCTACAGTATCATACTGTACGTCCTAGGTCAACAATGTCCCATGCTTTCACAGTCTGTGACAGTGATTAGTGGGCTAACGGGAAATTAACTATCATGTATTGTTGATTTCCTGCTGTAGGCTGTTAACATTTTGTCCAATAACATTAGCTAACTTCCTTTGCAAAATCGAATCATCATAATAAAGCTTCACAGTAAGGAACTATAGCAAACATCCCCGGAAATCCAATCTCGATATTCTGCGTGAAAAAATTCGTTACGGCAAGTATTACAACTCTTCTTTCATCAATTTTTTACAATCAAACGCAAAGGTTAAATTACTACAAACCAATCAACCATAAATCGATTATTATAAAGCTTTATTAACCATGTACTTAGAGATAATCACACTAAAGACTATCATGGGCGAGATATAATACAATTAAAAACGGTCATTGATCTACAATATTGATATTAATAAAACGATTCATAATATATTTAAATATTCAGGTTAGTGAAGTAAACTGTGTATAACCGTACCATTAACAGCATATTAGGACTTTGAAATAGGTAACAACAATCATAAAAAGAAATTACACTTGCGTAATCATCACAATGACAAAAAGAATTACTATCTAGCATTGCATAATCTTAAACATGACAGTAACGATTTAGATCTCCCTTCGTCAATATACTGCACTACAAATATTCCCTCTCTTACTAAACATGATATACCGGAAGCACAGTCCAATCATTTTTTTAAGCATGATATACCGGAAACACAGTCCAATATTAATCATATAAAGGAGATATTTGTCAACAGTCTATAGCAATCGCAGGAGTAATGGCCATAAATCTCAGAAGCAAAACTGTATGCTTACCATTACATGTAAATGTTATATAGAGTAATAAACGTATAATTTACAAATTTTCAACACGGTATTATTGGCATTATAATAATTTATGAAATGTTATTCTCATCGAAATATTTTACTGTCCAACGCAAAGAAAATTAATGTTTCAACACAAAAATGAAATTACGTAAAGATTTCATTACGCATAAATCACTTCGCATTTCATATTCAATCATAGCCTTACTTTCAAAAATCATTTTTTAAAGTCAAATTATTGAAACATCTCAAAACGTAATTTCAATAACTAAGTGTGCTTCTTCCTGTCAACATTTGCGAATGCCGATCCTAAATTGTAAAGCTTATAAACATGCAATAGCATATTCATATCACAGGAGGGCACAGTTATGACGTTTAGATGGCTTTTTATTACCAACTTCAGGCGATTTGCGATTAATTTGTCGGACCAAATCGAAGAATATCTAAAATAAATTGAAGGTATTATGTAAAAGGAGTAAAGGTAGGTAAGATATTCGTAGAACATTAAATATCTATCACATTCTATATACTCACTTCGTTTACATTTGTTTTCGCTTTAGCTGAGCTCTCCAAGAATGTACTATGATTGCAAGTAAACATAGATATTTAATACATACAATCCAATTAAGTAATAATTGCTATACCTAATGCCGACTACGTGAAATATAAAATTAAAGCATTTTACTATCGATGTTACATTGCAAAACAACTCATTGCTGTTAGTATACTAAAAACATGATAAAAGTCAGCTCCTTATATATATAATTCAACCAACAATGTGTTCTAAATTTATCAATGAAATAATTACCAATTATGGAAGCTTCTCGCTAAAGTTTGTCCTTGATCTTTACCAACTACACGTTCATCTTCCAAATCACATTTATTGCCAACAAGTACCATAGGTACCTATAACAGAACACAAAGGGTAATCACATAATTCACACTTTAGTCTATACAATCGAACAAACACAAAGTAGTGAAGCATGTATAACTAGTTACAGTGCTGTCGTAATACGACGATAACCAATATATTATCTTCTGTCTCAACGATATCAAGCAAACACAAAATATGAACATGAATACTCTTATTATTCCATAATAACTAACATCATCCGTATCTTTAACGCGTAAAATTTGATCCCGAACGTCTTCCAAGTCATTGAAAGTAGACTGTGCGGTTATTGAATAAACCAAAGCAAATCCTTGGCCATTCTTCATATATAAATCTCTCATTGCTGTAAATTGTTCCTATTTAATACAAGTCACAGTATGAAGCACTATCAGCGATTAAAGTTCGCTAGTATATATTATTTTTTACATTATTATTAACTTTCATACCGTTCCTGCAGTATCAAGAATTTCGAGCATACATTGGCTACTATCGACTTCAACTTGCTATATCAAACAAAAGAGTGCATAAGTATGATACCTTTTTAAAGATAGTATATTGGATATTCAAATTTAAAAAAGGCGAGGATTATCGGGTTGTACTAGCTTATTACTACTAGTAACTTAGACAATAGTAGATACAAGCAAATAATTAAGTTATTCATATTATACGTATCAAAAGCCTACGTAGAACATCATATCTACCTTTCTGTATGAGTCCTCTATTGTTGGATCATATTTTTCTACAAATATCCCTTGAACGAATTGTACTGTCTACAATCACCGAAATGCAAAGCTTCAGCTTTAATATGATTATTATAACATACTGTGGTTTTCAATTTATTTTCTAATAGAATTCTATATCAATATACTATTAATTAAGAGAAAAAATAAAAAATAAAAAATAAAAAAAATTAAAGGCTATCACTTGTATCTATGGAGTTGTGGCAAGAAAACTTGCGGACTATGATGATAGACATAAAATAAAATAGTGCTATGGTTGTTGTATCCTTTAATATTAAGACTACATCTAAAAAGATATATACTTAACACATTGGCTGCATCTGGGTCATTCATTGACTAAACTCATGTACAACCATAGGCACTACTTTAAGATTAATTTTATTTCATACACTACATTACTAGTACACTGAGTAGAATACAAATGTGTCTATAAATATCGCCTACGAGGCTAAAAAAAGTTTTAACATTTGTAAAAGGAATAATATGACTAGTGTTATTAAACAGAACTCAGTATACGTGTATATTGCTGGCAGAAAGACCACAGTATAATCATCGTTATATCAAAAGGAAAAAATAAAGAAGACAATTTAAACTTACCAATGCGCTCTTACCAACACCACCAGAACCCAAAACGACCAATTTATACTCACGCATTTTTACTTTTACTTAGTAACGATTCAAAATTCGATCAAATAGCTATGTATTACTTTAATCCTAACGTTTTCTATACCACAACTATGCCAGTAAGAATTTAGTTCAACCCTAGATTTGCAAGTAGCAAAAGTATTGAATCAGTTACCATATAAAAGAAAGACAGCCTCCGTATAAAAAATACTATTCAATATGAAATGTTGAGTATGATATAATATAATAGATCAATCAATTATATCATTATGACAAGAGATATTGATGAGAAAATGAGCAGAACTGTGTACGAAAACTAGCCTCCAGATAATTATTAATTATTTATATGCTGAACACCCCATTCCATTTAAAACAATAAATGACTAGCCGTTGCGTTTCAATTTACATATCCGTCATCCAACAAATTTGAAGTTATGTAGTCAGAATTGGGGTTGGGCTTAAGTCGATAGGAACTTTAATTTTTTGTCCTTTATTCTCAATGGTATCAGTATTTACAACTCTTTTGACGGCATTAAATTTATTTCAATGAAGCAATTATTCCCCGGCAACAGCTGCAAGCCATGTGATTCAACTTCACTGTTACATAAAAGGTCCTAACAATAGTTAGCTTCGGACGAAGTAACGAAAAATCCGACATACTCCTGTCTTTAGCTTTCTGTTATAATAAACTTTTAATCCAAGAATAAGATACTATTACCGTAAGACCAATAGCGATTTCTTTAGCAAGTATGTCATACTGAATTAAAATACTGTAGTAATATATATATTATAATAATACAGAACGATCGAATCAATAACCACAGTATAGTATTGTAATACAGTCTACATACAAGCGTATACAGTATTAGTATTATTACATTCACTGCAGCGCTAGGGTCAGTAAAATTGTGAATAACAATTTATCGCAGACTACCTAAATCAGCTTATTAGTAATAGTATGACCCTTTGATATGCTATACTTAGAAGTACGTAGAGTATTGTACAACTACTACAGTATATAATATGATAATAATTATAATTATTATCGAATCTGTCGATTAGTAGTACAGTTTGCTATTAATTGGAGACCACAGTGCACGCTCGCATTAATTGAAAGTAGTAAAGTATACATCGACGACAATTTGGTTATTACACGACCAGGAATAAAGACTCAAGTGAAAGATTTTTATAGCTTATTCAATCATGATTGCATATCATCATCAATCACATTATCTTCAATTTTTAAACCGTCATGCCAGCGAATAAATTTATCTTTTCTGTTTATCATGAATGTTATACAGGAAACCGCCGAAATCAGATTCTGACATACGTACTCTGATATAATAAGTATCGTATACATGAGGTGTTTAATATACAGTACTGTACTTTACGAATGAAGCTCATACAATCATTTTTTTCCATCAAGAGAAATTCTCTCTTCAACATTACATTGTACAGTACATAGGGCTACATGGCGGGTAGTAAAAGTTCAAAATAGCTACTACAGTAGTTGGCAATGAATACAAAGCAATTAACCACCCTTAGTCGCGTAATGAATCTTCAAGAAACGGTATACTGTAAAGGAAGCTATGAACTATAGTAGGCATCCATCACTATGGATGGACAATCTACATAATAAGAAACGCCATAACTCGCATTGCAAAGAATTTAAACATTATAGAAGCTATTTTTTACGAATTTAGGACGCTGTAGGGCGATGAAAAACTTCTCTACAGTAATCTGTATCGTAAGCTATGGATAAACAAAACAACTACATTCATAATTAGCACTGCAATACTAGACAACTAGAAAGCAACTGAGTAGCCCTTCCTGGGCAGATGGTAGCCTAACCATGTACTTAGGCATCATTAATGATAATGCAATACAAGAGTAGCCTACTCCAATGATAACTGTGAGTATGAAACTGCATACTGTACTGTACTACCCATGGTACTACCTGGTACTCTATTCTTCGCAATGCAAGTACAGTATAGTACACTGTACTTAGGTATTTCGCCTAATATGGTGGTGCGGCTAATACTGTAGTGATTACTTCTCAGTTTATAAAAAAAATAAATACATAACTCGACCGTAAATAAAATAGGAATCAAGTACATGCACATGGCTAATGAATAGCCAGTTACATTAGACACGTCCGAAATATATTCAGACTAAACCAAAGTACCTTATTTCGTAAATTAGTATATAAATGTTTGAGAATACTGTGAGTGAATAGTCTATCATATTATCGATAGTACAAATTCTATCAACTATAAACAGATAGAGATCATACGATCATTCAAGGGGTTATAAAAAAATTCCTATACGACCATCATTCACAAGATCGGCATATCATACTAACTAGTATAAAGCTGATTGCATGTAAAATAATGATATCCTGTTAACACGGTACAATGCAGCAGAAAGATAGTCCGTGAAAACCATGAAAAGTGGAATTATACAGTACAGTACTAAAGTATTTTTAAGTATAATTAATCGAGTATCGTAAAAGAAACAAAGAAACTACTAGCTTGTCTAGTCGGAGGATCAAAACTAACTACTGTCGTAAAATGCCACTAAAAAGGTTGTTTTGAATGATCGAGATGCAGTAATTATTGAGTCATGGCCATAAACTGGCGGTTCAATCTAGACTTGGTAGAGTCTAGTCGCTGTAGACTCAGTATTACGACAGTCGTTGTACAATTACAATATTATTACAATTAAATGCGAAGTGAAAACTGCTCAACTACTTGCTAATCGATTTGTCGCCCTTGTCTACTCTCTTGCCAATTAATAATTTAATTTTAGTATACTGTCCTGTCGATATCGGTACACTAAACAGTGCAGTAAAATTTATACATTACAATGACAAAACATGACGTTGTACGATCGCATTGGAATGAGTTAATGCAATCTATTATTTATTGGCAGTAAAACAACGCTAGTTAGGATGTACCGCTAGATGTACCTTTAGCAATTCCATGCCAAAATACTGAAATCAAGTCCCTGGAGTTTCAAAACTTTGCTAGTTAATGACAATATGCATGCAAGATAAAATGCTATCCGCTGTACGCTAGTCTCTTTCACTATCGTATTTTGTTTATTGTATTGTATGGTACCGGTTGAACCGTACGAACCCTGTTACTGTTGCATACAAAAGGTAAATTTTTTTACAATCCTAATCAATCAATAAATCATTGGTAGGGAACTTTATATGGGTATTGTTTATAATAGTTCCTGTAAAATGCAGTCTATAATAAAGGTGAATGTGATACAGGGCTATGCATGACAATATCTTAGAGCAAGCTAACTCACTGCACACACAACAGTACAGTTTCTATACGAACTTATAATAAGTACAGTAGTATAGTAACAGGATGATGAAGGTGCAAGTCTAGTGGACGAGTGAACGAAAGCGCCAAAATATTTCACTGTACAATAGAACAATTTATACGTACAATGGATAATTAATCAAGATCGCAGACGGTGAATGTTATGCAGAAAATATTTTCCAGCTAGTAATTTCGTCGACAGTCCTATGTATTACAATGAAGTGTTTGGTGCATGACACAGTCTCTTACTTGTAAACTACTGTACCGTACTATTGCATAAGAAATCAGTCAATATACAGTATACAAGGAGCAATGTCGCGCAAGTTATGATCGGTAGCGAATGTCAACTGCACTATCGAGTAATATTTCATAAATACATTAAAGATATAAAAATACTCAATCTACGTATGTTATCATTGTTGTACTGTACTGCACTAATAGCAATAGTATATCTAGTCCTATAAGAACTATCATAGAATCGCAATCATCATCAAAGCTAATCTACTGTATGATTTCAATTGATGTTTTCAACGCTTATCGCTTGCCTAACTGCAAAAAGTGCAGATGACAATTTTGCGAGTATCGCAATCCTATTCATCACTACAGTAACTTTTTTTCTTCAAAAATTGGGCGATAAATGGGCATGCAACAGTCAACTTCCATTAAAAACAATCCTAGTAGTATTTAGGCTACGGTCAATGGAGTAACTGACGAGTAAGCCATTTGCTCGTAGTTGTAAAAACTGTCGCGTTCAATATTTAGTCCCAACCCAACAAAGAGAGCAAGAATAGCTTCCGTCCATACTATACTACTGTACAACGTTAATGGGTCTAGTATGTGCAGTGCTACTGTACTGTATGTACGTACAGTACTAGCCAAGCGTCGATCGATAAAACACTGTACTGAAATCGTACTGTAGGAGCATGAAAGAGTTCGTAGGGGCCAAAAAAAAAGTGAAAACGTGCTGTACAATACAGTAACACGTCGTCCATGCATACGCACGTAGAGCAAGCTCCTGAATCGTCCGTGTTACACGTCGTACAGTATTGCTATTGATCGCGTGCTTGATACGGTTGTCCGCACTATACAGTACGGTATAGAACATAAGTCCACTATTGTAACAAAAGAGACGAAATGACGCTCTGATCGATCGATCGACTCGTAAACGTATCAAAAGCTTATCAGCGCGTTTCAGCTCCTGCCGTGTTTAGCAACCAACTATAGGGATAGAAGAATACTGTAGTACTAAAAGGGCAAGGCTAGCACAAGGTTATTACCAATTCCGAATATCTTCACTTTTCAATCCTAGATACATTACTCAGATCGACATTGAACGGTCCTTTCTAAGCACTAACTTCCCTTTGAAAAGGAGAGTTAGAACAATACAGTATGATAATGCTTCAACAAAGTACACGGACTGTAATGTACGCCTAAAAAGTGGATACCAGGATACCGTAGTTCCGACTTTTACTGAAAAATACAACCTAGTGTAATGACGATCCTAAGTGACACACTATGACACTTTACAGTCCATTTCATACATTTAAAATTAAATTGTTGTGCACAACAGAATAAGACGTAATTTGCTCATCCTTGACAACATCATACAGCAATAAAGAGAAGAAAAAATTGTCCTGTCTTGACTCGAACAAATTTACAAAAGGATAGCGTCATTTTAAAATTGATAGTGGACGGCGC